GGGGTGGGCGAGGGGTGAGTGGGGGTGGGCAGAGGGTGGGGAGAGGGAGTGGAGGAGGGGTTTCAATCGATGCTGACAAATCTTTTTGAGCATTGCTCTCATTGTGAGGGCGAGTGACAGTGGCGGGAGAAGGAGGGATTTCATCCAGAGTTGTTTTCCTTTACGGTTTATATTGCTTTGGGATTTTGCAGGATACTGGAGCTCGAGTCGTTTTCTGCCTGTATGAAACAAGGGCAGCAGAGTCCAGAAGCAAATTGTGTTGATGTCTCGACTATAACCCTGATCGAACAGAGTGGAAACAGGGGAGAGCTTGCGTTAGGACAGTCAGCTGCAGTTGTGCGCGAGAGACAATCGACAGTCGAGTTGACGTCGAGTGAGGAGTCCAAACGCACAAGATTGACAACGATGTTATCGGCGGAGGGAGCAATGGATATCGACGAACATGAAGAACGGGGCAGCAAGGGATGGAGTCAGGCAGTGAGCTGCTCTGGTGGTCCCACATGCTGTGTCGAAGAAGAGCATGTCGTGGGGTCGTCAAAGGGTCAACTGCTTCCGCTGACATCCAGGTGTCCAAGCCTGATGGATCGCTCGGAAAGCTTGGTTGGTAGGAACGAGGGTGTGAAGAAAGGGACGGTTGGCAATGTATGTAGCTCTATTGCTGAGCAAAATGCGTGCATGCCAGAGCAGAAGCTGGGCATGGCAATCGAGGCTGCATTGAGCTTGAAGCAGGAGATAGCGAAAATAATGGCACCGTTCGAAAGGGTTGTCAAGCACATCAGTGGCAGGGGCAGAGACGAGAGCGAGGATGCACTTGGCAGTGCAGAGTTAGATGCTCTGATCGATCTTCGGAACCGACAGGCAAAGATCGCCAGAGGAAGGAGGAGGAGGAAGCGGAAGCGATGCGAAGTGGCAACAATACTCCGCAGAGTAATTAAACCACTTTCCTCTCAGCAACACTTCCATTATTATTATTATTTTTTTTGGTGCAACACCTGGACTCTGAACAAGGAGACAACTTGTCCTTCGGGACATCTGTTAAAATTGGAACGATACAGAGAAGATTAGCATGGCCCCTGCGCAAAGGGAAAAAAAAAAAAAAAAAAAAGGTAACAACTTGATTTAAAAAGTGACTGGATCTGACAACTGAGGCCATGTATGAACTTATCCGCAGCTTAAAATAAAAACAAAAAACAAAAAAACAAACAAACTATTGTGGTCAGATTCGCTCAGATTCCAGCTGTGAGTACCTCTCACTCTCTACTCCCTCTAGCTCACTCCAATCAGCCTCCTTTGTGTCTTGCCACCCCCAGCATTCACCCAACCGACCTGGTCGGGCCCAATGTCGACCCAGGACCTAACCAGGTGGGGGCAGCACCGACAAATTGCGACAATACCTCGCTGCCCCTCTTAACCTAACCTCCAACCCTAATCCGAGGTTAGTGAGCCTAATTAACTCGGAATTAGGGTTAGGGTGACTAACACCTCTTGCCAGCAAGTGAGTCCGCTCTGATACCAAATGTTACAATCCTGGCTATTTCCGAAGTGCGAATTCACAAGGAAAAACAATGCCACCCAATCGCGAAAGAAATGAAAGCACTTGCAAAGAGATAGAGACCAGAGAAGACGAAAGAAGAAGAAAGAACGAAGAAGAAGAAGAAGAAGATGTACACCAGCAAGACCAATGTCGAATCCCCCGTCTCTCTCCACTCTCCTCCTCGTCCTCCTCCTACCCACGAAAGAAGAAGAAAGAACGAAGAAGAAGAAGAAGAAGAAGAAGAAGAAGAAGATGTACACCAGCAAGACCAATGTTGAATCCCCCGTCTCTCTCCACTCTCCTCCTCGTCCTCCTCCTCCTACCCCTTTCCTCATCTCCGTCAATCTTATTCTTCACCAAACAATAATAATAACGAGTGGTTGGGCCAGAATCAATATCCGAAGTTCCCTCTTATTGCCCGCACAACAACAGGGCCACCATAGCCATGGACTCCCTCTTCTCCTACTTCTCACAGGCCTATGCTATGGCGAACTACGAAGGGCCCTGCCCTCCCGTGCAAAAGACAACGCAAAGCAGCTATGGCAGTTGCTCTTCAGGCCGCCATGCCCGACTCTGCCTTGCCTTCTTGGTGCAGCACCACCCCAGCTGGGGCCTTCCAGATGCAGCGCCTAACAAGGGGATGCATCATGGGCCTACTACCTGCTACTTGAGTGTTTTCCCCTGCTGCAACCCTCAAAGTCACGGCCACAGGTAAGTACTGGCCCCGCGGGCCTCGCAAGCACACAAGTGCCCTGCCGGGCCACCCACACACTCAAGCACTCAGGCATCCCGACAAAGGCAAACCATACTTGCGGCGCACTTCTGCGGTGCGTAGTGCGCCATGCGCCATGCGCCATGTGCAAATTAGTGATGCGCTCTTTTTTTTTCTTTTCTTTTCTTATGGTTGTGTAGGTTGTGTATGTGTGTATACACACGAACACACACACACACACACACACACACACACACACACACACACACACACAGACAGAGAGAGAGAGAGAGAGAGAGAGAGAGAGAGAGAGAGAGAGA